GTTTTTGCGTCTTTTTTAATTGTTTGACATTAGAGTGCATAGCCACCGTGATATTTAATGTCAAACGTATTTACTTGTATTAATTCTGAATTTTGTAGATTTTTGTTTAAACGTCGGCCAAAAAGCTTAATACAAATCTTGTGCGTTAACCATTTTACAGTGCTCAATTATTAAAGCACTCCGCTGCGCGTCGTGCTTCAAATTCATTTCGCACTGTAAAATGTAAGTTACCGCACACGAATGTAAATAACTATTAAGATTTGCAAAAACTCTAATAACTTGAAACACTGCAACCGGTTATGTAGAACATGTAAAAATGATTTTTCTTTCAGTTAATCAAAAAATAAATATTTCAAAGTGTAAACTTACCTTATGGGTAGCAGATCTTCTACGCTTCATCTTCTAAGAATCCAGAATCCCCAAGAATCAAGAATCACACATGTTCGAAGAGTAACAACACCACTAGACTCACTCACTAGAATGACAAACGATTTTTACCACTAAAATATATTGTCGATAAGACGAACACATCCTTAGTTTTTCTGATTTTAACCCACATACATAATATTATTGTTTTATGATCCCATGTGACAGAAAAGTTTTCCCTAACTTAAAGATTCTAAATTGAAAAAACTCAAACAAAAAGCCTTTATGTTAAAAACTAACACAAACTCGAAAACTACGCACGCCTAAAACAGTTTTAAACAAAATAAACACCGGTCACTAGGGTAACCTAACCTAAAACGAAAAAGTGGAAACGGATACGAAGTTTTCTGGCGGGCACTTCAGTTTAGATTTAAAATTAGGCGCAATCACTCACCGGCACAAAATTCGATCCATTAATTTTATTTTATTTTTCTCAACTAATCCTTGTTCTACAAGGCAGCCTTTTTTTGCGTGTTGCCTCCCCTTGCATGAATTACAGCTGCCATTCTTCTTGGCATTCCTTCAATAGGATGTTCAATCGCTCTTTGGTCAATTTCTTCCCAAATTTGGGTTACTGCCACACTTAACTCTCTCAAAGTTGCAGGAGCAAGAACTCTGCGTCGAACCTTTCTTCCCACCATGTCCCAAATGTGTTCAATGGGATTTAGGTCAGGACTTCGCGCTGGCCATACGTTCAATTTCAACCTCATCTCGGTACGTGTTCACGATGCGAGCAGTGTGAGAACGTGCACTATCGTGTATAAAAATGAAATTTCCACCCAATAAATGGTGCATAAGGCACAACATAGGGTTCCAGAATGTCTCTGATGTACCTATCAACTGTCATTGTTCCTCTGCCTACAATGACTAATTCGGTACGAGCTTCCAAACTAATGCCACCCCAGAACATAATAGACCCTCCACCAAAACTCAGCCTTGGGACAATATTGCACTGTGCAAATCTTTCTCCTGATTGTCGCCAAACTCTTTGTCGTCCATCTGGAGAGTGAAGACAAAACCTTGACTCATCAGAGAAAAGAACTCGGCTCCAATCAACAACTTCCCAATTCTCATGTTTATGAGCAAAACGTAGTCGCTCGACTCGATGCTCTCGCCATTTGCTGGTCTTCTTGCAACTAATCCTTCTTCCTTGAGTCTTCTTCTTACTGTTCTTTCGCTTATTGTCACACACCTTACCTTTTCTAACAAGTTATGAGCATGAACAGCTGTTGTGTCCCTATTTCTCAATACTTGCAGTGTGAGAAAATGATCATCTCGATCTGTGGTACATCGCTACTTTTAGAAAGCTAAATTACTTTTACGCGCTTCAAAAAATGACAAGAATAATGACGAAGGGCATTAAAATAGGTATCACGATAAAAGAAAATTGGAAAAAAAGTCCTCAAAATTTTATCGCGCGCTCATTTTTTTGTTTGTTGGTTTTAACAATAGTTGGAAATATATCTTATTTCTGTTTAAAAATTCTCTGACCAAAAGAAAGAAAAATCGAAAATGTTTTCGAGAAAATAAAGTATGGATCGAATTTTATGCCGGTGAGTGTATAAACACATTTTGTTATATTAGGAATATATTATTATTGTTAACGTTATAGATCAGATGCGACCTGTGACGAAAGGAGTAACAAGAAAAACTCAATAAACCTGTATTTTATTTTTTACAATTAAAAAATAAAGAAGAATTTCATATGTTACAATACAATATACAAAATAATCACCTTGAAATATCAAATAAATTCTTCTAAAGGTGACAGAAAAAACTTACTTAAAATACTTTTTAATCATATCACAAAAATCTGACTGACTTCCTTTTAAAAAGTGCAAATTACACTACATTCACTGACTAATTTACCATGAGAATCTCATCTACACACATGTAAGCATAGTTATAAATTATGTAGAATAAATAAAACCCTGTTAAAATCAATTTCAGAAATGTTAAAACAGATCCCACAACCTCAGTATAAGTAAAAAATATACCGAAATAAATAATGTATAGGTAACTTGATTACAGCCTGATAGAAAATAAAGTGTTAAACACTTGCAGTTAATTACAACAACTACTTGATACATTTCCATCAAACACACATACAAACATCCTATTTAAGTAATTAGGCACGGGGTAAGGAAAGTGAGGCCTCCTTTAAAAGTTGTGCTCTTGTAGTTTCGCCTACGTCTTAACCCTACGCCCTCCTTTGATAAATCCGTTTCGACTTGGTTTGTGGCCGTTTCTTGAGTCACTAAATCGAGAGTTTTTCAACCTTGATTCGAATACTACGTCGGAATCGGTGTCGCTGTCTGATAAATTGCCTTTACGTGGTACAACTGGAACCGAATTTCGCATAAGTAAAGAACACACAATTGAATTATTACTTACGTGGAGGCAAATCTTCTATCAACTTGTACGTCGTAGGCTTTGTCCCCGTCCACCTCTTCGAACACCAATTATAGCAAAGGTACACCAATCCCCACATAGATCCAAAGAACGCCATCACAGTACAAACAACACCCAAAACTACATACAAAATACTCCAACTACAATCGGAATCCTCATCAGTTTTCAAATAAACTTTGAACAAATCCTGCATCCAAAAAGCTTCACATTCGCATTTCCTCGTCTGTTCGTTGCAAACACCATGACCTGAGCAGTTATTCTGACAAATCGCAGTTTGCAATTTTGCCACAGAGAACCCCAAAAGGCCAGCATCAACTCTCAATTTCTCTCTCAAATGCTGAACGATATCATTCGCCGGGTAAGCCGTGCCATCGGGAGTTTCAACATAGAAGATGATCATCGCTTTGCCTGAACCCACTTCAGGTTTTACATTCCGTACCTTCAATTTCGAACCGTCGATGACAAGCAATGCTAGTTTTCCGGTGAGAGTGTTATATTGAGCTTGAGTGAGGTGTTTGGCGTTCACATCGATGGTAATTTCAACAAGGTTCAACAGTTTCGGGTCGTTTTTGACCACAAAAGTGACAGTGTCGGTATCACTAAGTCCTTGTTCGTCGAAAACCGTCAAGTTAAATATGTATTTGCCAGCAATTACGTCGGTCAAAATTAATACCGGTGATTCGTCCGATTTTTCAGCTACGTTTCCTATGGCAAGCGATTTATCGTCGCGAGTCCATTTCCATTTGACTATAGCCCAATCGTCTTTAGATTTTGAACCATTGACAAGGACGGCGTTTCTTGGCAATTCAACTTCAAAGTCTCCACCGGCGTTAGCTTTTGGTTTCTGATTAACATCTGCAAAATGACAAAAAATGCATAACTACACAATAAGAAAACTGAACTCGCATTATTAACCGCGACATTATTAGAAATAAACGTACATTAATTTACCTCTAGTGTAAAAAGAATGACTTTATCAACGATAAAAAGATTTAACAATATTACCTACTGTGCGTTTGCACGATTATAATAGCACTGTCCAACCGATTTCCCTCCCTTTCTTTTTTCCTCCTCTAAGACGTAAAAGATTGTAAAAATATTTTTTGTGATACTGAACGCAAATTTGAAAGCCAATTTGAGAAAAATGAACTTGAAGTTGCTAAAAGTGGCTTTGTCTGTTTTTACATTTTTATTAACAATTTCATGATCGTAAAAAAGCACAACAGTAAGTAAGTACTTTATCATGTTTTTTTCAATAAGAATCAAAATTTGAAACCGGGTTATTTATATCAGTTTTATCGTACAATTACGTTTTTTTTAATATTATATTGCGATAATTTTATCTGTTTGGAGTTGTAGATGGTTTTTCACTCTGAGAAAAATTACCTAAATCCCATAATTTAAATTTTTAAGTATCAGAAAACTATGAAGAGTTTAAACTGAAAATCTATTTTTATATATAAAAACCATTTTCATTCGGTATTTAAAATGTGATTTTTTTTAAATCCCTCCTAAATAAATTGAAACAAATTTCAAGTAAGCATTCAGTATCTCAGCAAATTATTAAGTACACCCTCTTTTGTCTAAAAGAAGATTTTCGTGTTTCACGGTGTAATAAAGTCACTTTCTCAATTGAAAGAAATTTTACAATTTGATTGTACAATGGCGATCATTAAATTTTAGTAGTCAATGTCATTCCCTAATATACCCGCTTGTCAAAATTACACAGGAAAACTACCGTGCGATCAAATAAAAAAGAAATTAGAGTAGGCGTCGATTAAATTCTACAGTTGGCAACACATTGGCTGGGAATCTGGACTGGAAATTTTCCACACAAACTGAAAGTGAAAATGACCCTCAACCGTTTTCCTCTTGTACAGCAATAAAAAATTTCTGCTCTAAAGTGAACATTATTTCACTCAAAAGAAATAAAACGCAAACTTGTCAAAGTTTCCGCTGACATTTGATGTCAAAAATTAGGATTGCCATCTGAAGGATTTAATCACCACCCACTCTAATTATTTTTTTTTTTAATCGCACGGTACTTTTATTGACACGTTCGACCGTTTTCAGATGGGATGGAGCCGATGGTCGACAGTTGTCGGTTTTCCGGCATTGGGATGGGTCGATGGAGAGATGACGAAAATTGATAAATCGTTTGCTCAAATTATTAAGAATTTTGACTATGATAAGTGATTATATCGCATTTAACTTGTTTTGAAAGGAATAAAATAATATTTGAAACGTTTCTTTAAAATTAAAAATTGATCTGATTCATGGCTTTGATGTCCAAAGTCACCATTTCACAAAATAATTCATTTATTGTTTTATTTACTAATAAATTTATTAATTAATGTAGAAGTTAAGGGTTGTTTACTATTTATCAACAGTAAAGGATTTCATGTGATTTTGGTGAAATTTTTCACAGAAATTGAGTTGTGGCTTCATTTTCAATCAAAGAAAATTTTTACAGCAATTCCTAATATTCCAAGTCAACGAGTGCGGTTTAAATTTATAGGGTGGCTCTAATTATGCCGATGAGTTGGGTCTATCCCAGGCAAAAATTTGTCCTTAAAGATGTTATTTGCCTGAAACCTTTTTGCCCTGTGTATTAGAATCCCGATAATAAACATAAAATGTCTTAAGGCAAATAACACCCTCAACGATAAATTTTTGCCTGGAATATACTGAAATCACTGTTAATTTTCAATTCTTTACCTAAATTCGCCTTTATGTAAAAATTAACAGGTTTTTACTTGTTTCAAAAGCTATCGATTAAAATCAAAAAATGGGAATCTTCAGCTTTACTACTTTATCATTTATCATTCAGCTTTTTGAAAAAGTGTAGTGATTTACAAAATATTTTTTTTCCTTCCAGTAGGCAACAAAGGAGTAAGACAGACACTCGTATCTTATAACTCAGTCTGGTGGTGACATCCGATTAAACTTTAAAAAACTAAGTCTTTATTAGATAAGGCATTTGGTATGGTATGTGTTTCATTCATAAAGGCGCCGCCGTTCTGGTAAACTAGAACATTACCTCGAAAGAAAAAACAAAGTGAACTAAAAGTGGAGCACAAAATTCATGGTTTTTTGAAAAAAAAAATTTTAATCTTCCAACAGATCTATTATTTTTGAAAATGATATACTATTATTTATAACGTCAATGATTTTCAAGTAACAACCCTATCAATATTCTTAATTGGCAACCAACATTTTTGTTTAGGTACTGTTTTCGGCAATTTTTTTGAAGAGTGAAAAAAGAATGTACCTATTACCAAACAATCAAAAAAATTGTTGGTTGCCATTTAAAAAAATTCTTGATGTCATTATTCAAAATCCAATGACGTCATAAATGTAACAGTACCATCAAAATGTAGCATTTATAGAAATAAAATCGACCTGTTTGAATTGAACCTGTATATGTATATAGTAATATTCTTTTAATTTTTCCCGTTTATCGTAAAACTGTGTCAAATAACACAATCCCATGCGCTAATAGTTTGGTCTTTGTTGTTAGTATACGAATGAGTGAAACAAAATGCAAACGGTCAAGCGTAGCTGAAAATAGGAGGGACCACCAGTCGTTCTCAAACTATGAGACGCCACTAAGCTAAAATTTGTTTTTATTATTATTACTTTTTTAATAAATTAATAAGTCTTGTATGTTTTCAAGCAAAACAAAATGTTAACAGTCTGTTTATTTTATTTGACATACATTCATTAATTGTCAATTTCTCTTGATGCATTTTTTAACCTATTGAGAATCACTGGTATGTTTTGGTTGAGTGAAGTAGATAGGCGAGCTAAAGTTTGCTGTCTCTTTTAAACGACCTAAGTGCGAGAAAGAAAAAATACCACTGGTGGGACCAGAGAGCGGCATAACGTTTATCTTACTTGCTCCTACCTACTTACTTGAAGAGCGAGAGAGACAACAAAGTTTTATGACATTCGGGTAAAATTAAAATAGTATATTAAAGAACAAGTTTTATAAGGGTTGATTTGGCGCACGAATCCCAAGTTAGAAAACGAGCCGTAGGCGAGTTTTCTATGGGATGAGTGCGCCAATGCCATTATAAGTATTTTATGCTATTTTTTCTAATTTGCGCCCCCTTTTTTCTTATTTTAATTAAAAAAATATATATTTTTGTCGCCTAGAGAATTTTGTGTTAGTTGGTATCGGTTGGCAACACTCGGCGCCCACCTGTTTTTTGAGTCATTTCTGCCGTCTGTCATTAAAAATAAAATACATAAATTATTGGTTATTAGTGTTACAACATAATAATAATAAATAAAATATGAGAAACACAATTTAGTTTGCATTCCGCCCGAAATTCGCCAAATTGCCGAAGCAACAACGCAAAATTTGTTACCTGACAAGTCAGAAGCGACATCCAAAAACTAAATAAACCTAAATTCATTAAAGTACAGTGTGCTTTTATAGATAGCCATAAACGACTCCTACTGGAGACGTTAATAAACGTATTATAAACGCAAATTAGAAAAACTACCATTTTAAAATCACCCTTCGTAATCAACAAGATAAAAAATTGTAAGTAACTTAGAGACGTAATTTTTAAAAAATGTGTGACCTTTTAATGTTTCTAGAAATTTATAAACAAAAAGACCACGAGACAGAAGCAAAATATTCCCGCTTTCAATGACAAAATTAACTGAAACAATACTTACTCTGATTTACTATAACAGTGACAGTATCGCTGGCAACATTATTATTATCATCCGTAACGCTGAGTTTAAACATGTAACTTCCTTTCGTAAGTCCAGTAACATTTGTTTTACTCAAAGTATTGTTGACAAATTCGACGGTTGAAGGGCCTTCAACTTGCTCCCATTTGAAAGTCGTAATTTTATTATCATCGGAACTATTACTACCATCCAAAACAACCCAGGTTTGAGGCAAACTAATCGTTATATTACTTCCCGCTTCAGCGATTGGAGGTTTATTAGTTGGCGGTTTTACAAACACGTGAACTTGAGCTGTGCTGCTTTGGCCTGCACTATCCGTCACTTTTAAAGTAAAAGTATACATTCCTTCTTCTAAATTTGACAGTTGAAGATAAGGAGTTCTCGTATCTTGCATGTCAACAGCTTTTTGAGCATCATCAGGACTCTTTGTCCATTCCCAAGTCGTGATTGCATGGTCGTCTGTACTGAGATTGCCGTTTAATGTAATGTTGTTGTGTGGTAAATAGATAATTTTATCTTCACCTAAAAAACGTTTATTTTTAATAAAATCAAAAAAATGTAAATTAGTCCTCAACAAACCGGCGTTTGCATCTGGTGGATAATCAGTGAACTTTAGAACTGTCACATTGGCAGTGGCGGAGCTAGTAGCCTTGTCTGTATCTGTTACAGTCAATTTAAACGTGTAATTCCCTGGTTTCTTCAAGTCGTTCAATTGTAAAGTCGCAGTGTCTTTGAGTTCAGGTTGGTAACCTAAATCGTAACACAAAAATATTCTATACTTTTCGTTCAATTAAATTTCTAATCAAAGAGGCTTATGACTAAGGCTCGGATTATATGCAAAATGCATATTTGTTATTAAGACAACAAAATTGTATGTTTTCTATGCATATCTAATGTTTTTTGATTAAAATAAGCCAAAAAATATTTTGCATATTTTGGCAACTTCGTGCATATTTTAGGAAATAATGCATATTTGTGCATATTTTCTTCAAATCACAAATTTCCGATTAAAAATTTCAGTTCAATTTAAAAATTGGCAGACTAAAAGAATTAGTATCCTGTTGAGTGTTTCGTTTTTAAATTCTTTTTAAACAGGGTGAATATGAAGTTTAGAAACAAAGGTTTTTTTTTTTATTATTTGCCTTTGGAAAATAATAATTAATATAAAATAAAGTAATATAAAAAATCTGATCGTATTTTCAAAACGAAATTTTGTTTTGCTTTGAGTTATGCGATTTTTTTGTCAAAATTGTAATTTATGTATTTTTTTTTTCAAATTAATAAAAAGTAAATAGTCTCTAACACAGTTGTTTTTGGGATAGTATACAAAACATTTTTTAGTGGGTTGGCATTTAAAAAAATTTTTGTGGAATTCAAAAACAAAAAAAATCGAAAAATTTTATTCTTTATAAAACATTTAATTCATCAATTAGTTTAAAAAAAATAAATATTTTAAGCAAAAAATGTTTGGTTCCATACTTTTTATTCACCTGGTATAAAACTAATAATTACTTCTATGTGGATTTCTTAGAAAGGCTTGTCTGAAGCAAAACTAATTTATTTATTCTCTTTCGTTCATCGTGTGCGGTTCAAGATGATGAAAATACAAACTTTAGTGTACTCGAGGATAAAAATTTATTCCAACTTTGATTTTTTATTGTTAAAAGTTTTGCATATCGATGCAAATTTGGCATATATTCGAGCATATTTTTTAATATTTTGTGCAAATTTTGTGAAAATACGTACATATACGTGTTCGGTCCAAGTCGCCCCGGCCGATAACACCTAAACTTACTTCTTTTTTTAAAAAAGTTTATTTTCAAATAACACTATTCATTCCTCGTTTTCTTAGTAAATGCATCAAATTTTGTTGGCACTTCCGATGTAGCCGGAAATGCTACCAAATTTAGTTTTTCAAATGGAACACCTATGTTTTTTTGCTCGAAACAATAATAACCGGCATGAAAAATACGGTAAACCACTATTTATTACATTTTACTTTACATAATACACTCAGAAACAATTTAAATTTTTGAATTTTATTGCAAATTTTGCAACGTAGGCGGATTTTACTTGTCAAGGTATTCATGCAAAAAGCAATATGCTTGGATACCGTTTAATTGTTAGTTTGACAAAGCCTAATTTGTCAATAAATCTTATTGAGATCTTTAATAATTACGAAGAATTGGTAGATCAGCTTGAAGTGTTTTTTAAGTGCAATAAAAATAGAGAGGAAGCTGAAAAAAAAAATGTAATAAATAGTGGTTTACAGTATTTTTCATGTCAATTATTATTGTTTGGAAGACAAAAAACATAGGTGTTCCATTTGAAAAACAAAATTTGGTAGCATTTTCGGCAACACCGGATGTGCTAAAAAAATTTATACATTTATTAAGAAAGCCAAGAATGAAAAAAAGAAGTAAGTTTAGGTGTTATCAGTAGGGGCGACTTGGACCGAACACGCTGTATATGCGCATATTTTACGGATTTTTCGTGCATATAATCCGAGCTTTACAATGACTTTGAAATTAAGTTGAAAACACTGAATAATGTAGAAATAAACAAAAAAACAACAATAGATAATCATAAATTATGTAATTTTTCTATCCTGTAATATGTAATTGCTTCAGGTGAGGGCCATGCCATCGATCACCCCCTGCAATTACAATTGGCTATAAAATTGTTACACAGCCAGTGTTGCCAAATTAAAATTTAAAATTTGTAACCAACTTGTCAAAAATCACAGTCACTTTACTGCCCAGTTGCAGGCCGCTTTAATCACAAACTGGTAAAACTTGCGATCATACCTAACGGTCCTTGTTGCAACTCCCAATGCCACGACACAATCCCATCATCATCGGTAGACGTTGAAGCATCCAAAACTGCTGCAGTATTTGGCAACTTGATAACTTGATTTGCCGGCGTAATTACAATTTGTGGCGGTTTATTAATCCGTGAAGGTGGCAATACTGTCACATTCACAAAGGTTTCGCCATAAGCGAATGAATTCGACACGCTTACTTTAAACGTATACAAGCCTTCAACCAACTTTGATAACTGAAGTTGACCGCCATTCTGATGCTTAACAGCAGTGCTGCCATCTGGTTGTTGTAACGACGTCCACTCATACTGATATTTCTCGTCTTCATTGTCATCATCAGGAGAGACATTAGCGATCAAAGTGACCTCATTATCTGGCAGTTTGACAATTTTGTTTTCAGCACTCACTGACAAATGTTTACGAGTGACAGGAGCCGACTTATTTGCAAGATCTAAGATTCTTTCAGTCATTATTTCACTACTGTGAGATCCAATGTCTTTTAAATCTAAGAGAACACAATCACCAGAATGGTTTCGAATAAATCGTGGTTTACAAGCACATGTTCCAGCCCGAGATTTGGGGTAATTTTTGACGCAAATTTCATTAGGAGCACAAACGTTATCAATGCCGACTTCACAACTGAGATCATAATTGTAAGTGGATTCGTCCATTACTAGATCTTTGTAGATATCTTGAAGTCTCCTCTTGTCATTCAATACGTTGTAAACCTCCCTATCCAAATGTTCAGTTGAATAATCTGAAAAAAAAAAACGTTTCTTCAGTTATTAATTACAAGTTAAACAAACCTTGTGCTAAAACATCCTGCCATGAATCTTCATCAGTGGGCTTCACAAGAACCATCGAAACACGGTCTTTAGAGTCGGGATTTAAACTCACTACAGGTTTGCATAATTCATCACTAGCACAAGTGATATGATAACATTTCTCATCAGTCATAAAAGCAACATTGCACTGTTTCTGCAGACAACATTTAATGACACAATCTTTCAACTTGTTTACACCCTCAATCTCCTTGAATGTACCTACAATTGTCCAGTTTTATCACACTATTGTTAGAATAAACCCACACGATATACCTGCAGTAAGATTGCCTTGGGGTACAAAACCATGGAACGTTCTTTCATATAACCTTGGACATAACGGGCGTAAATTTTTCGATCCGGGATAACAAAAATCTCGTGGTAATAGTATCACATTGAGAAAAACAATGTAAAATAAGCGTCTGTATGCCATTCCTGTAAGGAATTAACTAAATGTTTCCGCCGTTGATAACACTGGCTTTGATAACAATAGGATACTCACCAATGGTTGTTAGCGGAAATTGTTAACATTTAACTACTGGGTCGATAACACTACTTAAATTTATTAATTAAAATCCATCGGTTGTGTATTGAATTTATAAATTATCAGGTGCTTTTGACACAATTAACGTTTTTGACAGTGACAGATATTTGACAGATTCCATAGAATTCATGTAGCGTAGATAACATTGTGACTTTGTGATATTAAAAAATTGAAAACACATATTTTATATACAAAACTCTACAATTATTGTTTCACATTAAGCTTATTGTAAAAAGAAAATGGTTTTAAAATTATTCTGTTTTTATTTGTATAGAGATAACACGACACTGGCATTCTTTAGTTATTTAGGTCAATGGTGGAAATAAAAAAGAACCCACTAAAAAGATATAAAAAGGACAAAATTAGGTTCAATGTTTTTGGCACTGTAAATAAAATATTGTTACGAATTTTTTACTTAAAAAACATGATGTTGAAGCAAGATGGATAATCCATTTTAAATGGAGCCATGCCAAAAATTTTTCAAATATTTTTTGAATTAAATACACGTCTGAAAAATTTATAGTCAAAGATTTCAAAGTAACGCATTCATTTAAAATAAATCAAACACTTGCCAACATGTCGTATCTCAGCAAATTGTGTTTTTTAAGATATTTTTGACTCCGAATGAAAATACTTTTAGAATTATGAACAGAAATACATTTTTGTGGTACCTAAGGAGAAATTAAAATTCTTTCAAATAGGTATGTACGTCCAACAGCATTCTTGTAAATGTAAAAAATTATTGAAATATTAATATAAACTCACAATGTGTAGCAAACCTAACGTTTGCGTCAGTGCCACCTGCCGGATTACACGCGAAATAGATAATAGTTGTCACGGGTTCGAGTCTACGGTGCATTTTTTTTTTTTTTAGTTTGGCACCATTATTATTTTTATTTTATTACATTTTACTGTTTAATAAGGTATATTTCATGATTCTAAATAATTTTTATCTCCATGAATTCAATCGTATAATTTTGCGGCCGCTTTACGGCCGATTTTTGGTCTTTGATATGCTGTTTACAGACAGACACACACACACACACACACACACGACCCAATGGCCCAAACCAACTTTTTTGGTGTCTTGAAGCTATAATTCGTCCAGAAATGTAAAAATCTGGGTAGGTCAAATTTCAGCCGATTACAATACTTTCCTTATAGGATAAGGCATACCAGAGGCGGCCAAAAGAGCCGAGGGCATTTTCGTTTGGGGAATTACCTAATAACGTTTATTCCAGAGATGCATTCAAAACTTTTCTCCCAACAGACTAAATTGATAATAACATAATAACATAATAAAATTGTCAAGAAGTGTTAAAAAATTTGTCAAAATATTCCGTACATTTTATTGCAATTACCTACAGCTACATTAAAAAAAAAACGGAAAATGTCAAAAAAATTTAGAATTTTTTTTTTTTCAATTTTTCCATGGTGTGAACATGTTGTATTAAAAATAGGTTAAAATATTTTAATGGCACTCTAAATTCTGCCGCTAAATTCATAATTTTCCTACCATTTTCCAGGTGAGCGACGATTCTGGCTACTTAATGCGGGATTACACAAGTTGGTATAAATTTAACGACATTGATAGAAATATCTTTGATAGGTATTGTCAAGTTGACAATTGACAATCAGAACCGAATTTACATTTAGAAAAATTACCAATGCCACCATTGATCTGTCTTTTTCCACAACACAAAAAGAAGATGTATAATTATCGAAAATGTGGTTTTATAGTCCACGAAAAAGAGTGACTCCAGTGGAAGGTATAAATAAATACATATAGGGAATCAAACGGTTTTTTTAATTATTTGCCTCTAGAAAATAATAATTAATATAAATTAAAGTATGTAATATAAAAAATGTGATTGTATTTTAAAAAAATAAAATTTTGTCTAAAACATGTATTTTGTGTTTTTGATTTATTTTTAATAAAAAATAAGTAGGTGTTCTGTGTCTGACATTAAATTTAACAAATAGTCAAAATGCATTCGAACGATGAGAAAACAGATGTGATTCTCATTTATGGCAAATTTGGGAAAAATGCTTCTACCGTTGGGCGTTTGTCCTAAAGACAATGTTTCTCGAATAAAAAAGCTCCAATAAAGCTTGAATAACTAAAGTGTTTTTCAACGGTGGATAGACAAATAACCTTGAAACTTGTGTTTCCTCTCTTGTCAATTTCTTTGTGTCAGTTACACGATAACTATGTTTTATTAATTTTAAAATTCATAATCAAAATCCATGAACCTATGCAAATGTATTGCTGGCTGCAGTTCAAATTTGGCCAGGCTCATTATTACTCGTGAAATACCTTATACATATCTGTATAGCAAAAAAAATGTAAAATCAATTAGAAAGACCGCGCTAGCCATTAGGCCAGTTTGTGAATTTTGTGAACATTGAAATTCTAAAAAACTTTTGGGGAAAAAGTATAAAAGCATACAGGGTGTTTTACGTAATTTTACCAGGCCTACGACTGTAAGATGCAATCAATAATACATATTCCGATACGAACTCGATTACAAATTTTGAAAAATTGGATAATTTTCTCTAGTTTGTTCACCCTTTAAAAAATTACAACTATTTTAGTTAGTTAGTGTATAAATATGTAGCAAAAACTAGAATCATAATCATGCCATCTCTTGATAGAACAAATGATAATTGTTTCTGAAAAACTGAAGTTTATGACTATTAATGAAACAGTGATTAGTTTGACAACTACTGTCATGGTTTTCCAAAAATTAAACAGTTAGAAGTGTATTTTTTGTATCCAGTGTTTTGTGACTTTTGTATATCTAGGTGCGTACATTAGGCGCAAGCCTCGTAAAGTTGTGTGAAACACGCTGTATTTTAATTTTCGTTTAAGTTTTTTATCACCACTTTAATGATGGTTCGATCCTTTTAAATCATTGTGTATACGAATAAAAATAAACAGCTTTACCAAATTTTTAATATACCGAGTGTCCCAAACAGGCTAGAATATAGGAAATTAATATGGGAAATCAGTTTTTAGTTTATTCCGACTGCAGGAGTAACAGAAATCAAAATCTGATTAATGGGGCTTGTAATGCTCAAAAAGGGCTATCGATATTTTTTTCAATTTTCGAAATTTAATTTTGCCGGGTTAGCATTACTAAGAAACAAACTATCAAGTCATACCAAGAGCTTTTAGGGTCGGTTTCTGAGACGGTTTATCGTTAGATAAAGTTTATCGGTTCCATAATTGCTATAGCAATATAACTAAAAATCGATTTTCAATTAAGCTGTAATTTTTTAAATAAATGAGGTTTAAGCAAGTGGTTTTTGCATTCAAACGGTATTACAATGCGCCTTTAATGACGTCGGGTGTCCCCGTCCAATCAGCAAACGCAGCGCTACTTTGTCTCTCTTACCGACGACTTTCCTCCTTCGTCTTCCATTGTATCGCTGACTGGAGCAGAGGACTGGAGCTTAAGTTAGTGGCTGATTTTGCGCGTTCGTCAGGGTATGCTCACGTCATCACTTGGCGCAAACATGGTGTGTTTGAAAGTGTGTTTATTTTTCACCAACTTCAAAAAAAAAAAAATTCGCCTTGAATGCACGCTTTCGCATAAAACAAAAAACATGGGTATATTACTTTTTTATGTAGATTTAACTTAGACAATAAAAAAATATAGTATACTACCCCATTTTGTAGGAGATAGGAGGTTGGTTTTACCCTTACGAAGCCCATCAATCTATCATACGCATACAGAGTGCCCCAGAACTCGCGCCCCATGGAAAAAAATGTTCAAAAAATTCTTTCTATAAAAATTATAAAATATAATATACCAAGTGAATAAAAAGTATGGAACCAAGCGTTTTTTTCGTAAACTAAGCACTTTACGAAAAAAATAATTAGTGTTGCGTAAAGTACAATTAAAATGTGACCATTTATCAAAAATAACATTTTTCGAAATTTCTTTTAGTTTTCGAGTTCTGGATTTTTTTTTAATGGCAACCCACCATGGTAATTTTTTTAATTAAAGATTATGATCTAAAAATGACCCCTAATTAAATAAAATTGTTTTTTAGTCAGTACTTTTTTTTAATAAATTTTGAAGTTGCGTTCCGAGGCCATCACGAAGATTTTCCGAACTTGAACGAGGGGGTCGTTTCATGACTGGTCGTTGGAGAGCCTGTTTTTTTGTGCAGGTGCATTGGGGTGGTTCCGGATCGATCAAAAAATCTAATAAGAAATCATTTTCTTCTATTTTTAGTCGAAACCACCCCAAAGCACCTGCATAGAAATCAGAGCTCTCCCATGATGAAATGCATGAAGCAACCACTTCGGTTAAGTTCGGAAAATCTTCTTGATGAGCTCGGAACGCAACTTTAACAATTTATTTAAAAAAAAGTACTGGCTAAAAAGCAATTTTATTTAATTAGAGGTTATTTTTAGATCATAATCTTTAATTAAAAAAATTACCATGGTGGGTTGCCATTAAAAAAAAAAAACTTCCAGAACTCGAAAACTAAAAGAAATTTCGAAAAATGTTATTCTTGATAAATGGTCACATTTTAATTGTATTTTGCGCTACACTAATTATTTTTTTTTCGTAGAGTGCTTAGTTTACGAAAAAAACGCTTGCTTCCATACTTGTTATTCACCTGGCATAATACATACCAGGTGAATAAAAAGTATGGAACCAAACGTTTTTTCCTTAAACTATTTATTTTTTGAAAAAACTAATTGATGAGTGATAAAGTACTATAAAAATGTGATGATTTAACAAGAATAATTTTTTTCTAAATTTTCTTTTGTTTTTGAGTTCCACAAAAAAATTAATTTTTTTAAATGGCTACCCACTATAAAATCATTTTTCTCATAAAAGCTATACTCTAAGGATTACAACTATTTGCTTTATATTTAATTTTTTCACATAAATTGCAATTTTGACAAAAAAAATCGCATAACTCAAAAACAAAACAAAATTTCGTTCTGAAAATACGATCACATTTTTTATAACTTTAATTTATATTAATTATTATTTTCCGGAGGCAAATGATTAAAAATAAAACCGCTTGGTTCCATACTTTATATTCACCCTGTATAATAAATTTTGAATTTATAAGAGTTTTTGCACTTTGATTCTATTTATTTAAACATTAATTGATGATTCAGAAAAAGGTACAAAGCCTCCTAATTTTGTGATTGTTCGTCAGTAAAATTTTGAAAAATAACCGATGAATATTTTTTTAATTTTGTATTAATGAAAAAAATTTAATGGAATCCATATTTTTTATTTTTGTAACTATGTAAGGTTGAAGTTAGTAGTCTGGCAACTGTAGCAGTTTTATCTTTTATACAGAGCAGAATGGTCCAGTTCTCTAAGCTCCAAGCACAGAGTGGAGAGCATTGTAGATGTGCGTACCGGAAGAATTCCTTCCACCAACGATCGTCCAATTCTTGTATGTAGAGTGCAATGCACGTGCGGTTGCGATCACCGCCACAGCAAATAACCCCCCACCCTCCTGGCAGCCCCGCGCCCCGCCGGTCGCGGACGCGCTCCGGCACGTCGCCTATTTTGACGGGAAGGTCGATCACGTGACGCCGTGAGTGTCTGCGGGGTCCGGGGGGCTCGGCGGGGTCCGGCTAGACTTTCCACAGAGTTCGTCTGCGCCATGGCCGGAGCGGTTGCAAAACTCTTCGTCGACGGTGTCCAAGTGCAGGTGTGCGGTCCAAAGGGAGATTAGTGCGCTTTTCATGGGCGTTTCGCGTACTTTTCATGTAAATTTTCGCGGAAATCATTGCGATCGTGGAAACCATCTCGGTGGGTGTGCGCATGTGCGGTGTCAACAGTCTGCAAACCAGGCGAGACGACTATTGCGATTGCCAGACCAGACATCAGTTTAGGTGAACGTCTGCGGCGGGCGGTTGTGGTTACGTAAGTCGATGACATTCGGATGACGTGCGGCGGCGGCTGTGTAACGCCATGGAAGTGACGCCGCATTTGAAGAACGTGCTGAAGAACTACCAGCACAGCGCCACCAAGAGTCTGCAAGGGCCGGGGCTGGCGCTCAAGGGCGAGCCTTCGCCGGAGATTAAGGAGGAGGAGTTCGTGCCGGCGCCGTTCCCGGTGCAGCAGCTGCCGATCCTCACCACCCCGGATACGTCGTGCAGTGAACGCACGGAGACGGTGCTCGAAGGAGAGACGATTTCGTGCTTTGTAGTGGGTGGAGAGAAGCGACTCTGTCTGCCCCAGGTGTGTAATGCTTGCTTACTACTTCTTGCTGAGATTATACTAACAATCCATTCACACGACTGGGCTGGATTAAGGTTGGCCATGGATAGCTAGCTAACTATGTAGCTACGGATCGACAGTTACATTTAATGTGAACGAGGATTTTGCAAGTGTGAATGTGGCCTTTTAAAATTGGGTTATGAACAATTTTACCATTAAAAAATGTCAACGAATGAAACCTTATTAGTTTCAATTTTGAGACTGCTTCGAATGAAGAAGACTGGATTTTAATACCAAGCAACACTCTAAATTTTGAAATATTTTCATCAAATTTTATGACTATTTATTTATCATTTAAATTTAAATTGTTTTCGCAAATCTATCAAATCTTAATACATGTATTCATTTTTTTTTTTTAGAAAAGGGCATAAATAAAATTGTTATAAACTAGAATTTTGTTTAATCTGAAAAAATACCTATTTTTGTCGACTCACAAAAATTTGAACTGTCGTCACATCAATTTTGATGTCATAACTAGAATTTTGTATTAGAGATTTTGAAGTTCAGTGCAAATAAATAATTCTAAGATAAAAAATTGGTCTGGTATGTATTATGAAGGGAAAGGTGTGATTAAATATGAATGATAGTTTATGTTTACATTATTGATAATAATTAATGGTACAATGTCGTTATTCAGAGTTTAGAGGTAAAGTGGTCCGCGTGAAAGTGGTTTTCTACATTGTAAAAATTACATTTGTTTTTAGAACATCTCTAATTTCTAGTTTTTTTTTAAGTAGATAGGTATTTAAAGCTGGATTACGATCAGACGGCCTATGTATATATAGAATCTCAAAAGTCGCGGGACAACTTTATGATGCATTATTACAAAGCACAAAGAGCTTGAAAAAATGTTAAAATAACCCATTTACATACAGGGTGTGTCAGTACTCGCGCTCTAGAGACAAAATTTCAGATAAAATATGATACGAGGAACATGGAAAAAATGTTTAAAAAAATTTTGACATTTTTTGACATTTGACATTTTTTATGTCTATTTTGATCTTGTATATGATTTTTTATAATTATTTAGTAAAGGTACAAAAATTTTGCCTATAAAAGCCGAAGTATGTCACATATTAATGTGACATGAAGAATAATTGAATCATTAACAATTACATCAAATTGTGGATCTATTGAAATTTTGATACTTGTAATAATACAATATTGTATTACAATAGGACAATAAACAATATTGTTTTATTACAAATTATTAATTAAACTTGAGATTAAATTATTACATTAACGTTCATGCACCAAATTTGAAAATGCTCGGCATTTTTTTAACATATGAGTAGGTATTTTAGTTTTTCCGGAAAACTGTTAATTTTTGTGGGAAGTATCTACTGTAATAAGGCAAATTGGGTTATTAATGACTTTCTTATCATGTTATTTTAATTATTAAAATATTTGCACAACTATTACACCTAGGAACTCACTCCTCCAATACCATTGCTATGAGATTTAAAAAATTTATTAAGATTTTCTAAATTTTAAAATTCACATTTTAATTACTGGAGTCGAGTATACTCGTATATTATGCGATTAAATGTGTATTTAACTTTATTTTTTTTAAGATATGACAATACTTTTTAGAACAAAGTTGTCATTTATTTTTTGGGATAGATGTTCTGTTTCACCAGAAGCGACAGCCATTTCAGTTTTTTAAATGGAACACCCTCTATATTTTATTATTTTTGGATTTCTTGTAAAATTGTCTTTTAACAGGCTCATTAACTATTACTTATCACTAACTTTTGATTTTAGGCAATTTGAAAATTAAATTAAATTAAGTAGGCTGTGGAAAAATAGAACACATGATTGTTAACACAAAACTGTTCAACTTTGATCAAAAAAGTGTTGTAATATACTCGTAGGTACTCGTATTTAAACATAATAAAGTTATGGCTTATGGCGTTTTTTTATAATCTAGCCTGTATAAAAAAATTGTACTAGGTAGGTTTTAGCAAATTTAAAACAAAAGTTTGCCATGATATCTCAAACGCTTTAGGTTGTTTTAAAAAGCTGACGAAAGCCAATAAAGAATTTAGCAGATTTTGAAAAACATGACATATGACACTTCAGGTGGTTGGGAAGTAGGCACATCAGTTTTCGAGTTGGGAAGTAGCTATTTTCCAACTTGAACTGTCATATTACATATCAACTGATACGGAAGTGACTACTTCTCAACCTGAACTGTGATGTTTCTGAGGATACTTAATATTAATTGTTAAATAAAGTTGAAAAGTTTTGCTTTCCAACTTTTCACAAGCAAGGTAATTTGATTATTAGTTTTTAATATTTTTTTTTTGTGGACTTAGGAGTGAAATTTGATAAGTTGGCTATAGTTTTACTAGATGACACTAGAAAAGTAAATCTTTCCTATTGCATTTTGAAAATGCTATATCTTGCATAATAAAGAATCTTTTGTGTAAAGTACTGTTTTTTTCTAAGTTCTTCATTCTGACAGCAGTTGTTTATTTTTTAATGGTCTCAAATAGCCTAATAATGCAAATCGCAATTTTTACCGCATTATGATGCACATTTTACAACACGTTTTGTAAAAATCAAGTTTGTGCTTCTGGAGAGACAGCGTTGACAACTGTTTATTACAATTCAGGAGGAAGAAAAATAAATATGAAGCTTTGTACACAACTTTTTCCAACAGTCTTCTGTTTCTTGATATTCACATTTTTTTTTTCTGCAAGGCAATTAAGATAGTTAAATAATTTTTTTAATTTTTAGAAATTTGACAATTACTGTGTAAAAATTTTCGTAATTTTTTAAAACATTTTAACCAGTCGATGTTACATACTGCAATATTTATTCCAGGTGCTCAATTCGGTGCTCCGCGACTTCTCTTTACCGCAGATCAACCACGAATGCGATCAACTGCAAATCTATTGTTCGCGGTGCACCCCCGAGCAACTCACAGTGCTCAAAAACGGTGGTATTTTACCGAGCGCCGCCGCCAGCTCAGGTCTCATCACCAAGACGGACGCTGAGCGTTTATGTAGCGCCCTTCTGCACGGCCACGAGGTGACGCAGATTAGGCCACGGAAGGGCTTGGTGTCGTTTGCGGTCTACCACAAGTGCTTCGGCAAATGCATCGGCTCGTGTTTTCCAGAGTTGTACACAGGGAAGAACGCCAAGTGTATCGAGTGTACGGAATGCAGGGGTGGTTTCTCGCCACAACAGTTTGTCTGTCATGTGCATAAACATTTTTCGGAGAATCGGACAGTGCATTGGGGGTTTGACTCGGCAAACTGGAGGGTGTATTTGAGAGTGGCCAAGGATCAGCCAGATAAAGAGCAGTGTGACAAATATCTGGACGAGATGAAGGAGCAGTATGACGGGAAGATACCATTTCCCAATGTTTATGCGGGGATTAAAAGGAAACAGGTGAGAATTTTATGTTTTTATCGCTCTAAATTTATTCGAAGTTGCATTTTTAAATCACATGTTCTCTATTTTGTTTAATAAGCATCAAGTCTTCAAGATACCTTGTGGTACAATTTTAACAATAATATTACTTTTGCTTGATATAATAATATTTGACATATTTTATTCATTTATTTTTTGATAGTTTTATTCAATCGTAAACATTGCTTATTTTGTGAATAAATGAATACAATATAGTTTCCTCTAATGTGAAGAATTTTGTCTTCAATTTAATTTTTTTAAAGGAAAACAATTTTAAAATCACATTTGTTACAATAAATAAATATTTTTTACTCTTGCTTTTAAAATATAGCTACCTCGATTGATAGGAGCATAATTTTTAAATAAGCTAAGATTATTGAGTTAAAATAAAACACATGTTTCTTTTTGAAACTAAAGCTTACTGTTTGTAGAATTACAGTTCTTTGGTTTTTTATGTTAGGTTTTTTATTATAGTAGTATCCGATTATGACAATGAGAAAATTTAAAAAATGCTACTCTAATAAATAATTACAAAAACATTTTTACTTGATATTATAGGTATTAATGATAATTATCTTCTTTACTTCTCACGGAATTAGTTCTATCTAAAACTTTGGTTGGTCTATTTCGAATAGTGGATTGATGTTCACGAAAACATCTGTTAGATTTTGCGTTATTTTCATCCTGACAGTTGGCAATACTCTTTGATCTTGAGACATTGGCGACGCTTGATTTCATAACCATTTCACATTTCTCAGTTTTTTTTCTCTTCATTAATCTCATTTTAGAAATGTCATTTGGGATATAATTATGCTTATACATTTGTAAACTTAACCGGGATAACGACCTCGGGGTCACACCGAAAATTAAAATACGTCCAAATCATTCATTCATACCAAAAATTATGTTAAAATCTCTAGTGTTTAACACACAGGTAAACTTTCGATTTATTTATATTTATGCTTAGATACATATGTTTCAAATTTTAACTTTAGAGTGAATTATCGAGATGATTTAAATAGTTGGCATAAAGTCAACATGAATGTTGGACCTGACTTTTATTGGTTTCTATTAATTGTTGAGGGAATCTGTGCAACATTGCAGTTGTTTTTATTTACAGATTGCCAATAGAAGTGGAAGTTTTTTAAGAGAAGCCGAATTTGCTTTAAAATTTATTATAGGTTTTGAGACACCAAGTTCAAAAAAAAAAATTTTTAAAACATACCACGTTTAAGAAATATGTAACTGATAAAAATACAAGAACCGCCAAACAATAAATTAAAAACAGGTTATTTTACTCTGTTTCCTATAATTCTTTGATCAGTTTCCCTTATAACAGTTTAACAGTAACCTCCCAATATATTTTTTTGTGCTGATCTTCAAAAACCTCCAGATCTTGACTCGTTCTATTTGTCACTTATACTGCATCAGTTTTTAGGAAAGAAGTCTAAATACAAGTCAAGGAAATGTATTTTAAAAGGTATATTTACAACCATCTGGTAATAATTTGTAATAATTCAGCAAAAATTTGAATTTTAAATGAACTTCAAATCGGAAGGATTTGTGCAGATAGTTTTGTAGCAAAAAACTGTGACGTGATAAAAAATTTAACTATTGTTTGATAGAAGGTAAATAAACATAAAAATTAAAATTTGATTAAAGGTATATTAAATAAGTTATTATTTGTAAACTAGAGTTTTAAATGAGAAAATCCACAACCGATAAACGGCACTGACAATGTCAACAAAAAACATTGAATTTGACAATTTGAGATATCAATTTGTGAAAGTTCATCACAAATAATATTTCAAGCACTGCCTCCTTAATGAAATGTATCAATATCCCACCTGGGCATTTCGTAAAAATTGCATTGGAGCAGTGATTCAGAATTTTTTCTTAGTTACGGGGATTACTAAGGAAAGACTGAAAAATTTTTAATTATAAACAAAAAATAACACAATTAATAAAAGCTGGGAAGGAAGGATACAACAAAACAAGATACGCCAGGGAGAATTGATATTATGAGGTTGAACTCTTTAAGCTAAAAAACTGATTGTGTTAAAAAATTTCCCCAGATTAAAGCGCCAACGGGAATTAGTTGAACTCAAAAAATGCCCAGGTGTGATTATTTCTATCCAGACGGCCATGATTTCCACTAATAACAGTTAAAGACATTAACTGACATTTCGTTAGTTATGGAAAAATCCGTCAGAGGTTCTGCTATCACGCTAATTTTATCTATAATGAATGATTCAAGACTTTTATTTAAAATCATTAATAAATAACTATTAATATTTTTAAATTTTGTGAATACTTGTTTGAAATTAAAAGAAATCTTAATTTTTAATAGCATAGAGATCTTTAAGTCAATCAACTTGATTAATTACACTTATATTTTAGTGTCACCAGATATCAACACTTTTCAACTTATTAGCGTTTGTTAAATTAAAAAGAACCTTTACATAAGTATTAAATATTATTGCTGAATAAAGTAAGGAAAAAGTGCCATCCATTTATCGTTTGAGAAGTTTATTAGGTTGAACACATGGTTGCGGAATGTATTTTCGTGTATTTGCGTTTTTTTGTTAATTTTGTACAAGATGGTTAATTTTGCTTGATATGTTTTTGAATTTTTTAAAAATTGGTAGAGTTGTAAGATTGTAAGCAGTTAAACGACCTTGGGGTAGGAAGGCCGTAACTCTCGTAACATGTAATCTGAAGGTACCCTGAGGAATTGCACAGTCGTATGCAAACAACACGCAACGAAGACCTCGCGGTAAAGGTCAGAAATCAAAGTTGACAGAAATGGCACGGTACCAAACGAATTTTTTTTCGAACCAATATATCGTAAACATCTCCGTCCCAGAATAATACTTAATTTAAGCGAATGGTACGCTTCTTGATTTTATGGTCGATAGTCGATGGTGTCCTGGGGCCATAATAAAAAAGCGTATCCACGAAAAGTTGGTGCGTGAGCGAAGAGTTCAAGATGAGATTATTGTGTAAATATCGCAGGCGCCATGTTTGCCCACAGCTGCAGACACGATGATGATAATGATGATGATGATGATGACCATTTGCATGAAGAGAGTCGGTAGCTGGAAATCTCCGTTTCTCGCACATATTTATAACCTTCGAGGCGGTTTTTATGGGTCAAACCAAATTACAAACTCAGCAGGTTACGCTGTTACTTTTACACGCCGTTTCTGGTTGTGGTGTGTACACACTGAAATCGTACTTTTAGCATAGCGACGTGACGTTTCAAGGTTCGAGTCGACGTTCGCGAACCGACACTAAAAATATTTAACTATAACGAATTTAAAATTTATGCAAAAAAGTTTTCAAATGCATACACAAGCAAGGACGCCGAAGGAACATGGACAGAGCCCGATGGCGGAATCTATTATTAAAAATTACTAGATTTCTTTTTTTTATACTGTTAGTGTGCAGATTACAAGCTTGGATAACCGTTCGTTGTATTGATTAAGCACTTTTTTTAGATGACAATTGGCTTAATTTTAATTTTGAAATCACTATGTTAATGAAAAGCAAAAGGAATATTCTGTACCACTAATTTGAAGGTCTCTGAAGCATATTGAGAAAAAACTTATTAAATTGCCGTTTTAACAGAATCGTGACTAGCTGCACACCAGGAAACACGGATTTTCAAGAAATATTGTTTTCGAGATACAGGTTTAATACTGTTAGATTCTGTAGTGTGATCAAAATGTTTTTTTTTTATTAGAATGTGCCCTAACCTTTTATACCTTTAACCTGAAGTCAGTATATTCCAAGTACAGTAAAACCTCTCAAGAACGGACACCGATGGGGAATCTTAAATTGTCCGTTGTGGAGAGGTGTCCCTTAATGGAATGTATGCAAAATTAATACAAAAAATTAAAAACTTTTTATTCCAAATTATAAAATAAAATAACAAAAATACAAAAGTTGCGTAGCGGTGAGTTGAGGAACAAATGAGTGCTGGAAGAACCTTCTGCAACAAGTGCTTTATACTAGTTAATAACTATTTATTTAAAAAAAATCGTTAATTTTTGTTGCTTTAACTAACTCGTTTTTCTTCTAGTTATTCTATATTCTGCAACTCATTAATGTAAGCATTGAATGTTATATATATATATATATATAAAACAGTTTACATTTACTGATAAAATTTAAAAAATATATTTATATTACTTATTATTGAAGTTAGTAGGTAGGTGGTAATGCAACAAAAACATTTAACTGTACACTGCTGGTTACATTTTAGAGGACCAAATGGCAGCTCCATTTTATTTTACAAATTCTATTTGGTAATAGATACCGGCGTAAACTGTCTTGGTTAGTTGTGAGGTTATAATTTTTTAGAATTAATTATTTAGGTATTATAAAATTACAGTAACTGTAAGGATAGTAAGCAAGTGTCAAGGGATAGTAAAGCAAGATAGTTGGTTAATGGAAACAAATTAAATGCATTAAACGTCAAGTATTTTTGATCAGTAAAAATAATAAGTGCACAGTAAAAATAATAAATGTAAATGTTGTAAAGACAACGAATGAATGTCCAGTAAAACTAATTCATTGCTTATACATTTACTACCCTCCAATTATAATAAATATTCAGTAATACAAAAATAAGAAATAATATTCTTGCACAGAAGCCTTACATTGTTATCTAACCAAGACTGAAGATTCCTTAAATTGTATGTTATTTTACTAATTTTGATTAAAGTTACTGAACGTTTATTATTTCTACTGTACAGTTTAGATTTTTTTACTGGACAATTCACAGTAAAATACTGTGCGTGCTTTGTTTGAAGTTTATTACTTTTACTGTGCAAAATATTATATTATACTGATAATTTTTTTTATTTTTTACTGTGCAAAAATGAATTAAATATTAGTTATTTTATTCTGATTAAAATTGAATTATTCACTGATCGCTTTAATACGACCCTTGGTTAATTGCGTCAAGTTTGAAA